ACAGCATCAGAGAGCTGTAAAATACATCCGTCTTACAGCTTTCTGAAGGCTGCATAGGTTCTAGCAATATCCAAAGTTTCATAACTAATGATGATATATTTTCAAAATGACGTTCGTTTCTGTTTCAGCACTAAAAGGATGTCATGACTGTTGGATATCAAATCTGGGGAAAGAGCAAACTCAGTTCTGCCTACCACAGGATTTTTCTCCTGCCATTAAAAGACATTTTTGTAATGGCGAGAGACAGGATACTGCCTCAGCTGAACTGTGCACATCAAGTTTCACTATTCCTGTTACACCATTGCATATGTGAGAGAATTCTTGCAGTTTAGAGAGGAACTGGTTCTAAACAAATTTGTGGTCAGGCAGTTGGACTAGGTAGGCCCCTTCCAACTGAATTTATTCTCTTCTCTTCTCTTCTCAACTGTGTACTTTTCCACAGTGAACCAAGGGCCCATGATGTGGGACATAATTCAGACACTGTCCTAGAGCAGCCAGCTATCTGCAGGGAGCTCTGGCAGAAGTAGGTGAGATGGAGGAATGGGAAATGATGCCTTTCCACGGGCCCACCCATGGCAGCAACTTGTCCACTCTGGATCCTTGGTAAAGGTAGGAAGGGTTTCAAGGATTTCACATTGAAAAGTGAAATGACCCAGGACCAGGGTGTGCTAGAAGGAATGCATGGTCTGATGTGGGGACCACAGAGAGCTATCAGGGACAAGGCACACTGCCTTGCAATACATTATGAAGTATATGCAGCCCAGAAAGCCAACCGTATCCTGGGCTGCATCAAAAGAAGGGTGGCCAGCAGGTCGAGGGAGGTGATTCTCCCTCTCTACTCCACTCTTGTGAGACCCCACCTGGAGTTCTGTGTTCAGCTCTGGGGCCCCCAACATGAGAAGGACATGGACCTGTTGCAGCAGACAAGGGGTAATGGCTTCAAACTGAAAGGGGGTAGATTTAGAGTAGATGTAAGGAAGAAATTCTTCGCTATGAGGGTGGTGAGGCACTGGAACAGGTTGCCCAGAGAGGCTGTGGATGTCCCATCCCTGGCAGTGTTCAAGGCCACGCTGGATGGGGCTTTGAGCAACCTGGTCTAGTGGAAGGTGTCCCTGGCCATGGCAGGGGGGTTGGAACTAGATGATCTTTAAGGTCCCTTCCAATCCAAACCATTCTATGGTTCTACATATTATAATGGCTTTTAAGACTTTTACCAGCACTACCTGGTTGCAACATGACCATTTGGTACCAGAGTCAGTCACTAAACCTTTTTCATGCCCTAGAAATACCAGTAGCTGAACCTCACATAAAGCAGTGGGCACAGCCACCTTCCTTCCAAAATATGCTTAAATGAAGAAAAAGTGTTGGTGGAGGTCTACTTTTACCAGTTTTCTTTGTAGTGAGAGAATGTGTCAGGGAATAGGAGGCTTGATACAATGCCAATCTGCAGTACAGCCAACATTTATGAAGCAGGTGCTGTAAGCACTAAGTTAAATGCTATTTGGGATAGGTGAGGAAATCATTCTGTGCTCCACCCATCAAAGGTATGTCCCTTTGGAGAGAAAAGAATATAAGATTCCTTGAAGCAAAGAGGAACTGATTAATGTCTCTGTAGCACAGCACAGGACATCTTAGGTTTCCTGCTTCATGGGTTGTTCGAACCAGCATCAATCTATTGATTGTTATTACCTCTCCAGATCTTGTCTCTCCTAAGTACCAGTTATTCATTTTATACTGAACTGTAATGGATTAAAATTCTGGCATATTTCTTAGAACAGAATCGGCTCTTAACGTTTGTTGGAAGTAATCTGGGAAGCTAGAACATGTTTTTATCCAAGAAAATGCCCTAAAAGTGCTTGTGGCAAATGAGAACGTGGATCTGACCCTCTTTTACCCAAAAAAAGCATTCAGTGAAGGTTTTCCGTACACTGGCAAAAGCTGTCTTCAACCATGATTGTGACTTGTGGCTGGGGAAGGTCATAGACATCACATGTGAGAACTGTGAAATTAGCTCTGGGTGTGGGTACTGTCCGCCTGTGCAGACACCGAACCGCATTGCTAGAGGTCTCCGTCTCTGCCCCTGCACAGGAGCATCACGGATGTGTGTGTTCAACAGCCTGTATGTGCCATGTCTTATTACTTTTCAGCTGAACTGCAAATGTCTTTTGTGGCTTTGTCAAATGTGCTACCAAAGCCAAAACAACCTCCACTCGTCTGAGTTACACATTGAAGAAAGTTTGGTTTGGCAAGAGCAGCTCATGATGAATCCATGCTGGTATTTTATACTCTACTGATTAGAAAATGACAGGTAAACAATTTTCTCAATTTCCTTCCTGGATATCTAAATTAGGCTTATTGAGCTTTAGTTCCCTGGGTCCTCACAGGTGAAATGTATGAGGGCTGATTTTTACCTTGTTACACTTCTTTCTTCTTGTGAGTGACTGAGAAATCAGTTCTTATAGTATGGGTTATGATGGAAGGGAATAGATTTCTAGACCCATTATTCATAGTAAATGGACTTTTTTAGGACTGGGGTAACAGGTCTACCCATTTCCTTAATGATAACAACACTGGATTAGCTATTGCATTATCATCATTCTTACTTGAACCTGTGCTAATTATTTAAGAGTGCAGTAAGTCATGTTCCAGCACTCACGCTTATGTCCTGGCATTGCTTAATTTACTACTACATATGTACCCAAATGAGAGCGCAGTATACCATGGAGGGAAAAAGTTGTGGAGAAGCACGAGAAAAAAACAACCCAAACAACAAGCACTTTGAATTGTGAAACCAGGCTTTTAACTTAATGCTTGTCTTTCATACTAAGAGAATGTCACCGAAATGAATGAGTCAGAAATGTGTGTTGAAATTATGCCCTGCCAAAGACTCTGGGATGTGGAATCTTAATCATGACAGCAGCTTCCTTACTAAAGGAGGACTGGAATGTGAAACCATTGTAAGGTCAGACTAAAATAATGTTTAGTCCCACTCTGTTGACTGCACAGAAGAACACTTGCTTCCCAAATCAGGGAATCAGGCTCCCTTCAAGGACTAATGCTAATAAAGTCACAAAATTGGTGGAAGTTAGTGAACTGTATTTCATGATAATAAGAAAGAATGAAAATTACAATGAATTGGTCAAAGAAGAATGAGTAATTTAATGATTGATGCAGCAAAAGCAGATATTAAAAAAAAAAAAATTTTGAAAGACACCTCTGCTTATTATTAAAAGCAAAGTTTCCAAATGCAGGGACCTTCCCCCTTCGCTATCTATTATTGTGAATTAAGCCCTTTTCTCAGACAGTTCTTCTTCATTAGAAGGCAGATTTAGTTACCTGTATTTATGGTAAGTGCAATCTTATACTATAAACAGGATCATTAATTAAGTGAACTCCACTTTTTTTTTTTTTATGACTGAGTGTTTTACAGTAGAATGTATGCCAGCAAAAGACAAAGATTCTAAACAGGAACAGTTCTAGTGGAAACTGCTATGCTCTCCTAATTCCTTTTGAGAACTACATATTTCAAGCAATCTGGTCTTGTTAACAGTACAGTAGTTTAAAAGGTTGATTGAGTTAAGACTAGTTGCATGACCAAGGACTATCCATCTATGCTGAGAACATATGAAACATATGGAACCACAGAACTTTAAACAATGCTCCTTAGATAACATTTTTTGGGGAAAAAAAAAAAAAAAAGATGTGCGAAGTTAATCATTAAATATATGTGGTACCCAAATGCCAAATTTCAATTAAGATCTCCACTATGTTCTAGACCATTATACAAATAGAATATATACATCCTCCTACAGCTTCTTCTTGTGTGTCACTGGACTGAAGTTAGTTCTTCTGCAAATGTGGAGAGGCAGGATGGAATCTGGTTTTGTGAAAGAAGTCTCTAAGGAGTTGGATGTCCAGGAGGGAAAAGTTGAGCCTGTTATTTTATTTCACTTTTGCAGGAAGCAGAGCAGTGAACTTGAAGCTATGGGTACATCCAGGAGACTTTGCCAAGGTAGTTGGAATAAACATATTCAAACTTCTAAGGCTTGGGAAAAAATGAATTGAAAAACAAAATTAACCATAAATGGGAAATGAAGACATGCAGCGTTTCCTTTCAGAATAATATTTCATCAATATTTCTTTTCTCTGTGATTTTTTCCTCTTTCTTGCCATTTACTCCACAGCAGCATCCAAGACCTTTGACCACACATACAAAATTCTTAGCTCTTTCAAGATTTCTCACTGAACTTGCAAGGTGTTTTGAAGCTTTCTTCCTTTATACTACAGCCTGTGATGAGAATTAGGTTAATTCCATAACAGAAGATTGAAATTAAGTCTTGCATTATGAGACTCAGCCCATATGTTTTCATTTTCTGTTAGAATTCTTAAAACTCAGATTTGCTACTTGCTCTTATCAAGTGTGTTGCTACTCCTACTGGATCAGCCACCATTGTTCAAAGGAGGAAGAAGAAAAAAGATAAAGAAGTCCCCTTGTTACCTGGCATTTCCCAGATTCAAGGATAAGAATTGCCTCTCCTGGTTATGGAAAAGTGTATAAACTGCAGCTGGAAGTCTGGAACTCAGATTTCTGTGCTACCACTGGTGTAAACATATCTTTGATCTCACTTGCAGTCAATGCATCTTCTCAAGCTAGGAGGTATTCATGAGAGTTTCCATATGGAGAACCAGACATTGTCATCTTTAATGAAGATATCTAGGCCATCTGAATACCTTGATCCATAAAGTGGAGGGTATCTGCATCCCAAGGTAGACTGACTGTCTAACATTTGCCCACCCTTATCATAGACTCCTTTGGTTGCACTCCACAAGTTGTCCCACCTAGGTAAAGAACCTAGCATGGTGAAGTGTGGCTCTGTAATAGTGCTTTTGGCCCGGTATTTGAACAAAGAATTTCAACCCCCTTCCATTTGCATAAATTAATTGTATTTTTTTAAAGCATCAACTTTACCCAAGTCACAATTAAAATGCTTAAAACTTACTGCATAATCCGTTGTCACAAGCATTAGGGCAATCACCACAGGGTTCTCCTTCTTTGTAGGGTGTCGGAATTGAACTTAGTAGATTCCCCCTGAAACATCAACATTACCAACACAAGCTATAAAGTCACTATAACATATCTGAGAATAAAACTTAATTATACAGATGCATACATATATTAATTTACAGTCTTTGGTTATATGTCAAACAATTTTTATGCATGTGTTGGGTTTATCTGGAAAAGTTTCAGTAGGGGAGGGGGCGTGGGGTGGAATTTGCAGGGGTGGCTTTACCAGAAGCTGCCCCTGTTTCAGTCAGAGCTAGTGCCAGCTACCTCCGGGTTGGACCCACTGCTGCCCAAAGTTGAGTGAATCAGCAGCTCTGCCTTAAAATTTCCACTAAAGTTTTTGGCATTAATTATAGTCTTCACTGTACTGTACACATTAATATATCTTTCTGAACCAAGATTTCAAGTAGAATGTGGAAAATATTTATTTATGATTTACTATTATGAAGACAAGGAGTTTTAGGCAAATGAAATTTAATCTGAAAATCAGTGTCACTTTGATGTGTTTTATGCTTTTGCTTGTTTGACAATTCTTTTGATGAGTATGTTTCTGTCTTTTCATATTCCTAATATACTCTTCAAACCTGTTCCTCAGCTATGGGTGATGTGCCCTATTAGAAATTTCACTATCTCCTGACCAATTTTGGTAATGTAATAAGAAGTTCCAGAATCAGATCAATACGTACATGGGACAGTACTGGCAGACATAAAAGTAGTTGTATTTACTGTTGGGACAGAAAGCGACAGCACATCCAATTTGATAAGAATTGTACCAAACCATCTGTAGGTATAAGAACAAAAATCATAGGAGAATGAAAAAATATACATTTGAAAATCATTTAAGTACAATATGCTTTACAGAAACATTTGCAACTGAGTTAAGTCACTTTATTTACCCTTATAGTAAAATATAAGTCCCCACCTTGCTGGAAAAAAACCCCATTTTTTTCCCCTGCTTTCACCTCTGAACCAAAGCACATTTAGGATATAATGATAATAATTTATCACACATATATATACATAAAACATTTGAGTTAAACTGTCTTAATTATACTTGTTTTCATTCAATTAAAACTGTTGAAGAAGATGTAGGAATCATGATGTAAAATTTTATATCCTGTGTTTCGTGCGGGTGAACAGAGGTTGTCAGAAGCCATTGTCCAACTGGAAACTCTCTGAGTCAATGAGCTCTGTAGACTGTAACAAACCTATTTATATTTCCTTCCTGGTACTTTAATAACCTTATTCTTCCAGTGTCTGAGCAATTTTCAGATGTTAAACAAACAAATGAGTTTCTTCCCTTTGTTTCTTCCTGAAGTTTTGAAATACCAGTATCTTTACTCCATAAAGACACTTAGCCTATTATTTTAATTTTAATTCTGTTACTTTGAAAGTTTTCATCTTGTTTTGTCAGAATACCTCTCATGTCTCCATTGTACTTATTCCCTTTAAAGATAATGAGAGGATAAAAGCTGCTTAGCTAACATACAGATATTTATTTATTCAGCCTAAGATATAAAAGAGTTGCATCTACCTGAGTGTAATGGCCTATGACAGCACCTTGTGTTTTTGCTCCAGTTCCATATTTGAAATCTTCCTTCTCATTGTACCAAGCATCAATAACATCTGACCACGGGAAAGGGGCGGATGACATGAAGAGATTTTCACCACATTGTACAGCTGAAAACAGAAAAGTATTGAGAAATGCATAAAAGATACAAGTGTGAGAAAAAGACAGCATAAAGGTGGTATGATTTCCATGGAAGTTCTCATCCCAGATGGGACAGCAGGGTTAGGTTTTTTTCCAGTTCAGTGACATCACCCTTTGTCAATACTGAAGTTGTCACTTGACCAGTTTGCAGCATGGCCAGCCTGTTTGGCTGGTAGTTTGGTTGTTGACAGACCTTCTGCATGTCTGTAGATACACGTGTAGATCTGCACCACAGATTCATGACTGTAATTTTGCTAGTTGAAAGTTAGCAACCTAGTCATTATTCAGGTCACAGCTCAGTAATCTTGGGAAAATCCCAACAATTCAAAGCTTACTTCTGGTACGCAAGAAGGTGTCTACACTGTTTTCATCCACTGTTTTTATTCAGGTCCAACCCTACTGCTTACACATTAGTTGTCATCTGGGATTCACCTTAGCAAGAACCAGAGGATTTGGTTTTTAGGCAAAAAGTGTGGGGACTGAAGGATAGTTCACAGTATTGACAGAAGTCAGTCAACATCACACTGGGCACTGATCATGGCTGTTGTAGACCTAGTATAGCTGTAACTTCAATATCCAATGACTGAAGTGTTTATATGAGCCTCCAAGATATGAGTTGCAAGTTGCCAGAATCTTGTCTTGGAAATTATGTTTAGCACCACCAGCCAGTTTTAGACCTTCACCCTTTACCCTTTCCTTCCGAGTTTCATCCACCACATGCAAGCTGATTTCTGCAGTTAACTGGTCTAGATTCTCCTCTTTCTGATGGATATTTTGGGAGAATATCCTTTCTCATTATGATTTTTTTTCACCTAATGAAGAAAGTAGGATACACCTATGTAAAACTGATGCAATTGGGATGAGAATAACATTGAACTTTTCTCACTTACTGGACAGATTTATATCTAGAATTTTGCCTTTGTCCCATGCACCAACAAAATCACATTGAATATGAATGGCATTAAAAACCCAACCAGCCAAACAAAAAAAAACCCCCAAGCTGTTCACATCAATAACATGTTAACATGTATGACATTATTCAGTTAACACTCATGCGTCACTTACTGGTTCTCCGCATGTTACCAGGACTGTGACTCAGAGTACATTGATTGGCCCATTCTTGGGCATTCTTTGCAGCTGGAGGACACCATTCCTTAATGAAAGAAGAAGATATTAGTCATTCAGACATGTACCAATTAATAACCCCTTATGAAGAAAGAACATTTGGAAATTACACTTCAAATCAGAATATCATACACAAAATCCTTTTCTTTCCCTTTTTGGGGGGGTAAGGGGAGTAGGAATAAAGTTACTGTGCACCCAGGAGTATAGAAACTGTGAAGACTGATGAAGAATACATCAGAAAGAAATGAACAATGCCATGGCTCCTCCTTTTCCTTTTTTTTTTTTCCTCCAAAAGTAAGAGACATTAGTGTTCATATACCACAACGTTTTTCAGAGTTTTTTTCCACCCACCCAGCTTTATGTTTCTCTTGGTGTCGGCCATGCTCAATCCTTAGGAATGGTCTGGAGAGTGAATTTGTGGGTAAATAAAATAATGTGACTTTCCGTACAGTCCTGTATCTCTCATAGAGTCCATTACTCTTTAAAAATAGATTTACATCACACAACTTACCATCTTCAACATGTTGCTGGCAGTTGGTTTCACTCCTCTCCTGAGGGTATTATGTCTGTCAACAATCAGCTTTTGCTGACTTGCTTTGCTAGTTGACAGAGCATCAAAACCTTCAGGTTCCTAAATTGAAAGAACATGTTATATTTCTTTTTCACTTGAATGTAACTAGATCCTGTATCCTGTCTAGGAAATATTAAAATATTAAAATACTAATATCAGCCATGGCGAAGATGATCCTTGCAATGGAGGAGGTACTGTGATACGCTTTGTCTCCTAAGTATCTCTAGAGGTGCTTCAATGTGGAGTAACGCTTTCAGTGGTTCCACAGTGTAGAGCTTAGCAGTAATTACACTGGTTCCTGCGTCATATCTGCCAACCCTCTGTGGATGGCTGAGATATCCTGGAATGCCTCATGTGCCTGTAGACTCTTAAATTTAGGCTACTGAATAAGACTTATTTTACTATTATTATAATTTCCTTCATGAGGTTTTGAGGAAACAGGATCTAAAAATCAGCTGAAGACATGAATGTGCTTATGATGTGTTCCCCTTCTCTAATATTTTAAACATGCCTATCCATGTTTTTTTATTGAAGGAACCTGTTTAATCACAGGATCGTCACAGTCCTCTTGTGGTACTTCATCAGGACATGCCACTGAACAAAAAATTGTGCCTCTTTTTTTCATGCCATATATTTTCTTCCACTCCTGCTATAACTGATAGCACTTCTCAAACTTTTCCTGTGTTTTCTAATTAAAATATAACCATGTGAAGAACTCAGTTCCCTCTTTACAACCATTCTCACTAGTCTTCTAGACTGCAGCATGGAGAGCAGAAATTGAAGAATTAGGGGGAAATGTAGTCAAGCCTTCAGTCACATTAGTGTTTCTGAAGCAGAAGTAGCAAACTTCAAACTTCAAACTTCAGACTAAGTATGGCTTGGGAGGAACCACTCTAAGTGTGCATTGAGTATGTTAGTTGGTTTAGCTGTTTGCGGGAAATCAGTGATATATGTTGAGAGGATGGGACTCTGAGCAAAGGGAGAGACAGATAGCTCAGGACCTGTAGGACAAGAAAGGGAGAGAGTTAGTTAACTGCTGCCTGTAAAACCTTGAGGAATTAAGAGGAAGAGGGCTGGATCTTTGAGAGATCCAGATTACTGGACCTGCACATGGGAGCTTCTGAAATATATAGTTCTCTCTGACCCAAATCACAAGTAACACTGAGTCTATAGATGGCTTAGTGTGCAAGTGTGGAACCAGCCCACTGCTTTGAAATTAAACAGACTTCAAGGATAAATGCTTTCCAGATCCTAAATATCTAATCAGACTCTTTCTGCACATGATCGGTGAGCATAGGAAAAGCCATATTCAGTCAGACCACAAGTGCCTTGGGTTCCATCCAGATTTTCTGAGTAGAAAGTGTGGATCCTACCTCTCCAGTGGATGGAGGCAGCACAGCTGTGAGACACAGGAACACCACTGGCAGAATCATCTCTGAAAAGGGGAGAATGAGGATTTAATTTATTTTTTTATGTAGCTTTCATTTCCCTGAATACCTAATTCATCTTTCACCTGTGTATTTCCTGGCTTTTTCTCAAATAGCAAAGTAATGTTTGCTTTCTTTCCTCCTTCTCTCCTCCTCCTGTATTTAAAAGTTAAAAAATAAAATTCATTCCCCCTCTGCATTTCCAAATTTCTATGAATCAACTGCTTTGTACCTCTCATACTTCCTGCTGTAATCCTGGCCGAATACCTTCACCTGAATTCACAGTACAGGAGGACATTTGTACTTCCCTTGCTGTAGGAAGCCTTCTGCTCCTTGCCACAGTGTGGAAGATCTGAGGTGAGATGCTGCTGTTAGCTTGTTTCTGTGTCCGTGTTAGTCTGAAACTTCCCCTACTCCCCATCGCCTGCTTTGCCTGGACCGCACTGGTTGAAAGGGGAATTAGACACTCAGGCCAAGTGCAGACCTCCACACGTAGTTGTCTGAGTCAGGATTCAAAACCCTTATTTTTGGGTGACCAGCACTGTGAAACCTTGCACGCAACCTGGGGCAGAACTGGCTGGACCAGAAATGGACCAGCACTGGCTTCCTGGGAAAGACTTGTTTCAGAAAGCTTTTTTGTTTTTATTTTTTTTAAAGACAACTCTTGATTATATTGCAGGTAGTGTGGAATGGCAACAGAAAGGAGAGCCTTCTCTAACTGAAGAAGCAACCACCAAACCCTGGACTCCAAGACTCTACTCGTTGAGGGGACTCAAAGCACCGTACCATCCCGCTACAGTGATCCGGGAGGTAGTGTAGCTCACTTCAAAGTTCAGGTTTCTCACTGCAATCAGTCATAGGACTTATATTCAGCTTGTTTCTGCTTAGCTACCTTGGGCAGGCAAACAGGTGACTAGAATGGAATTTACTTATTTTGGCGGTTTTCCCAGCCTCCCACTCCAAGGGAATTTATGGGCATGTTACCGCAGAGATATATTATTAGCTTAACTTCTTATTTGGTTTTGAGGGGCTGCTGGTTTTACTTTTAATTTATTCTTGGGGAAAGGCCAATAGGGTTTGCTGATCTTTTCATATTCAGCAAAGCTCCTTTACCTCGAGGCAACCAGTTTATATAAAACACGAGGTGCTGTGGCTTGTTGAGAACATGTGGGTAAGAAAAACTACCCTTTTCCAAATGGTACAGCAAGGCCCATTTTCCTCACCAGCTTGCTTACATTGCACTGGAGGCAACCCACAGTCCCCAGTCTGTAGGCAGGGATGCTGCTCCAGTTCTGCTAAAGAGCAAATCCTGTTGAGGTGGACTGTGACTATGGGCAGCTGTAGCTCAGAGGCCAAAAAACTGAACAGACTGGTCACGTCTGTACAACTAAACTCTCACAGCCTTCAAAATAGGGTGGCTTATTCCAAGCACTTGTAGTTGAGGAAAGACCTAGCTGATCCAGGGGAAAAACATACCGGTAATTAGCAGTATAAGTCATCAATTTCCTGTTCTTGTTATTGCCATATGTCATTTATGTTTAATTTTGACATCACCTATGCCTCCTTGAAGTGCTTTAGGATCACAGAAGTTTTTTCTTACTAACTTTTCTACCACTTATTTCTCAGAGCCATTACAAAACTTTGCAGTGTATATGACCTAGGTATTTAGCAATAAAAGATTATACTCCCAATAACATGAACAATTATTCTTTTCACTTAATTTCTAACTAGAAAATAAATAGAGGTGGGGGTTATTTTTAGCTGTACTCAAGTTACAAGTAAAAATATGTCTTTTGAGTGCAAAATGTGATGATATGCAAATAGAAAACAACCCTTTTTGCACCTAAAACATGTAAAAACAAATTCTCTGTTTCAAAGGAAAAATAACGCTTGACTGAAATTGTGAAACTTTCTATTTTGCAAACCAAACTGCAGAAGCTAACTTAAAGACATGGGCAAAGTATTCATTCACTGTAATATTTTCTATGAATTAACTTACAATTAAATGTAATTGGTAATTTAATACATGATACAAGTTTCAAAATGCCATTGGAATGCTTTTTAAGACCCCGTGGGTTTCCTGCTCCAAGATATTAACATACTTTTGGCAATCCCACCGATTTCAACCAAATGCTTATGGTTTATGAGATGTAAATTTAATTGCTCTGCATTAATTTCTAGGCACTGGTCCTAAAATCAGTCTCTCTGTCCCCCTCCCCTGTTCCCCCTCAATCAAACATAAATCAGGACATGTGCCAAGTCTTACTGACTTTCCTGCAACTCCATCTGTGTACAGGGATCTGCCACTGAAAGATGGTGCTTTAGCATCCCTAGTTTGTATGAGTTTAGCAAACTTGTGTGAATATGTTTTTCCCATCTCTCCTCCTAAAAAAAAAAAAGGTGTATCCTAAATTATTCACACAATTGAATATCTATTACAAAAGAACATCCCCATTGTTTTTTATTATCCTTGAAAAAGACCTGAAATGCAATAATATAAGCTGTCATTTCACTTGTACAGCATTGTTGCACAAAGTCCTACTTAGAAGCCACTTTGCATAAGCGCGGTAAATTGTACAAGGTGGTAATTTCCCTACTCTGAAGATAAGTGGCGATAGTTACATATAGCAATGAATATACTGAACTGAATATATATCCAATTCAATATGTTCCGTCTGTCTCTGTCTCTTTCTCTATGTACATATAATCTGCCAAGGTACTGCTTTCTTGCATACAGGCAGCTTTTCATCTGTTTTTGATTGTTCATCAATTTTCTCTCCCTTTTTTTTTTCAGCTTATGTTACACTGTTGCCTATGTAATCCTTATTTTTCACTGAATAAAATCCTCTTTCTGTGACTGTCCTAAATTGTTCAAGAAGTCCTCTAAAATAGGTTGCATTTTAATACATGAAACAAATTGCAATACTTGAAGCAAACAAATCAGTGTAAATCCTACCTTTTGTTTCCAGAAAGATCAGAAGTTTCTTCCGTCCTTTTTCAGGTGGTTGTGGAAGTGTCCGGGGTTCTTCACTGGAGGGTCATTTATAGCTCTTCTATATCCTGATAGGACAAGGTGACTCAACGTCACAGGTATAAAATTCAAATAGTGACCAGGTAAAACAGCACACTTGTCAAGTGCACATTCTTCCAAGGAGGAGGTTGTTTGCTTGTGTTCCATTTTTATTTCCTCTTACTTCTTGTACTGGAAGAGATGAAGTACTCTGAAATGAGTTTTGCATGTATTGCTCCTTATATGTGAAATCTTTAGTCAACGTGAACACCAGGTACAGAGGCTCTCTGCTAATGATTGACACATCCAGTTGTAGTAAGACTTGATCTTAATCTCCAGCAATGCAAATAAACTCAGCTGGCTACTGAGGTGTCTCCAGATTGACATTGTTGTAACCAAGATGGATTCTTGCTTATTGATTTTTCCATGGGGGTAAAAAAAGTCTTGGGCCAAATTCCTGTTCATGCTATGGCTTCTTTACATCAATCCTATAGTGTAAAAGCCAAAGGAGGAGACAAGGATACTTCTGTAATTGAAACTTTTACCCAGTATTGGGTAAAGATTAAAAGATTATTGTGTACACTAGCATTAAAGCATGTATTTGTTTCGGCATTTCCGGGTACCTAGGGTAAAATGAGAATGGGTGGAAATACTGCCAAATCAGAAGGGTATTTGTGTGCACATTGACTGTTTCTGTCCACATTAAGTGTCAAGTAATTGCTGACCGGAGCAGCAGTCATTGTCTGCTTTTATATAAAATGTTGTTATTTTTCTATTTAAATTCAGGTCTTCCTTCCTCATAGTCACTCAACTCCTACCCTAGTCCCTTGTGAAGTATGCCTTCAGAACAATCTTCTGCTTTTCATGACCTGGGAAACTAGGATATTGGCTCCACCAGACAAAACAGTAGTGGTGCGATTTGTTGGTTTATAATTATATGGAAAGGAACACACTGTCAGCAAGTTTGGGGTTGACACCAGATTGCAGGGAGCAGTCAATATGCTGGATAATAAGGCTGCCGTTCAGATGAATTTCAAAAAGCTGAAGAATTGATTTGACAGAAAAGATCTGGGAGAAAGCAATTGTCTAGGGAGCAGCTCTAACAAAAAAACCCCTTAAGAGTAGACAACAAGTTGCGTATCTGTCAACAGCACTCCCTTGCGACACTGAGAGCTAACCATGTACTGCACTGCATTAGCCACTACATAGTGCAAGTACTGACAATAGTGATTATACTCACTTTTTCAGAACTTCTGAAACTGTGTCTGGACTACTGTGTCCAGTTTTCGAGTCCCCAGTACAAGAAAGACATTAACAAACTGGAGTAAGCCTAGCAAAGGGCCACTGTGTCGGAAAGGAGAAAGGCAGAGATGGACTCTTCTACAACATGGACATGAAGTAAGAGCCACAGATTGCAAGCCTGACTAGATATAAAGAAAAATAATTTTTACAGTGAAGCTTGTTAAGCACTGAAGCAGATTGGCTTGTGAGATGGTAGTTTTTGTATACTTGGAGATATTCAAAACTGGACAAGGTGCTGAGCATCTTAATCTAATTTTCAAGTTGGCAGTGATTTGAACATGGTGTTAGACCAGATGAGCTTCAGAGGTCCTGTACAACCAAAACTGTTCTAAGGTGGTGTGATTTTTATATTGTTGACACTGGAAGGGCACCAGATGAGTCTTGTCTTATTTCACTTGTTGACAGATATGACAGTTTAATTAATTACGGTGGGAACCTCTGATTGTTATAGCAGAAAGCAAGTGTTACTAGTATAATTGTTATAACCATTAGTAATGTAAAAGGTTGCATTCAGGTGATCAGTGAACCATGGATCCTAAGGTAAAGACTACATCCTCTTATGCTCATGTCATTCATCTCTCTGCTTAATATATACTGAGACCTCTTGAATCAGCTCCTCATTCCAGTGTAAGAGCTGTCTATAAATGTGAGTGAATGATTCAGAACATCCTACCCTGTAATAACATTTCTGTGAATAGATTCTGTCATGACACTTTATAAATTGTTCCTATTGTTTATTGTCATAGAATCATAGAACAGCTCAGGTTGAAAGGGACCTCAAAAGATCATCTGGGCCAGCCTTCCGTAGGAAAGGGAACGTAGATAAGACTATCTAGCATCCTGCCCAATCACATCATGAAAACCTCCAGCGATGGGGACTTTACCATGTCCCTGGGGAGGTTGTTCCAGTGCATGATTGTTCGCACTGTGAAAAATTTATTTCTTATGTTGAGGTGAAACCTCTCCCAGTGCAGCTGTTGCCCCCTGTCTTCTCTATGTGGCTCCTTGTGAAGAGAGAGCCTCCGTCTTCTTTGTAGCTGCCCTTTAAGTACTGGAATACTGTGATGAGATCCCTCCTGAGCCTTCTCTTCTCCAGGGAGAAAAGACCGAACTTCTTTAGTCTTTGCTCAGAGGGCAGGTTCTCCAGCCCATTCATCATCTTTGTGGCCCTCCTTTGGACCCTTTCCAGTCTGTCCACGTCTTTCTTGAGCTGTGGGTACCAGAAGCGGACACCGTACTCCAGATGCGGCCAGACAAGCAATGAATAGAGTGCGGTGATGACGTCTTTATCTCTGCTAGTTTCTGAGGATGCAGCGCAGGATCCAATTGGCCTTTGCTGCTGCAGCGATGCACCGCTGACTCATGTTCATCTTGTTATCCACCAGGATCCTTGTGTCCCTTGCAGCAAGGCTGCTCCCCAGCCACACAGATCCGAGCCTGTACTGGGCGCTTTGGTTATGATATGATACCATAACTCTCAGACTGGGCATGGAGCTCC